CCCAATAACCACAGTTCTGCCCTACGAAACTGAAACACCCACGAATTCTCTCACAAATGGAAAGAGGGGTGGGGATGGGCGGGGTGTCAGGCATAGGAAGGGGGGACAATGTGGGCCTCACATCCCTGGGACTCACGGGACCAACCTGGGCTGGGCACCACGCCCCCCTGGCCCCATACAAGAAGGCACTAATGAGAAGTGTCAGGGTTGTGAGTTCCCACCACTGCATCTTCAGCAACCGTGTTGAAAAACAAGAACACTGTATTTTCATCAATTCCGTAAATCACACAGATGGGAAACGAAACTGCTTCTTGCATCAGGAGAACTCAGGAAGATTGATCACAGAATTAGGCTGTCCTCCCACAGTGCCCTCAGCTGATCTGAGCCTTCTCGGGGCTGATCCGAAGGCTCAGCTGGAACCCCTCAGGAGGAGCGCGGACGCCGGCCCCCACCTGACCACAGGGTCTCCTTGTGTATGGTGGGTCCCCGAGCACCGCCCACCGACGGCCCCGGAGGGAGCAGCCTGCGCATCGATCAGCACCACTGTGGACAGCCGTGATTAGGTTATAAAATCGTAACTGAGGTCGTTGTGTGTCTGTTGGCATAATCACATCAGCATGCTAATGCCGTTTTAATGGTCTCTAATGATGTAATAAGAAATAATGGAATTTACTTGACAGCTACATAACCATTAACAAAACATATTAAGTATAACGGGTACTTCCATAAAAACGCAGACAAGCTCTGAAGACGCCGGCTTGCGCGGCCGCGGCCTCTCTTCCTCTCCTGGAACAATGAGCAGCCCTGAGAACGTGCTCCTAGACACACAGCCAAGTGCTGGCCACGCAGCTGCCCCCTGCCGCGGCCTCCACTGCCCACGTCCGTCTGTCCAGTGGGCGCACGCGCTCAGTGTGCCACCATGGTGCTGGGCACCCAGTGCACACGTGTACAACACAGCACAGGCTTGTGCGCGCTCGCACACAGCACCTCAGGACCCAGACGTGTGGGGACAACACTAACCAGCAGGACGGGGGGCTCTGGCACCACGAGGACCAGCTTTAGATTGGAAGCATGAGCTGCATTAGGAGCAGGGGAGACTGGGGACACCTCCAGCCAGGCGAGGCAGCGGGGAAGGACCTTCTGGAGTGTTGGGCTCGCTGGAGAGCTCCGGACCAGACTCTCACCGGCTTAAACAGAGGCTGGTGGTGTCACGTTTGGCTCCACATCAGAAGCCCCCAGTTTTCTGACCAGGGAAGAGACTGTGGCAAAAGACATTTACAAAAGCTTTGGTATGGCCACCAGCTCAGCCAGAAAGTGCTCCCCAGAAACCCTCTGTGCCCGAATCCTCCTCAGATGTGACAGGGGTGCAGGTGGGAAGGGCTGAGACGGGTAAGCCACAGACCCGAGGTAGAGACCAGGGACAGAGAGAGTGCAGCTGGCTCCCACCAGACGTCTGTCCGCACAGGATGCCCCTGCCCCCGGGCCCCCCGCCCACTGGACACCTCCCATCAGATGCCCCCCACACCGGACGCGCCCCACCAGACTCCCCTCCTATCAGCAGCCCCCCACCAGACACCCCCCACACTAACACCTCCCACCAGACAGCCCCCCACCAGACACCCCTCCTGCCAGACACCCCCCCACACCGGACACCGCTCCCCCACCAGACAGCTCCGACATGGACACCACGGCACCAGAAGCCCCTCCAGTCCTGACACCCCTCCCATCAGACTTCCCCCAACCAGACACCCCTCCCACCAGATGCCCCTCTCCAGAAGATGCCCCTCGCCCAGACCCAAGCCCCTCCAGTCCTGACACCCCCAGCCCCAGCCCGCACCAGAAGCCTCTCCTGTCGGAAGCCTGCCTTGCCCCGCCCTGGCCTCTGGGCCTCCCACCGCTGCCCTGAGACTCTTGGAGGCGGATGGGCCTGGCTGAGGATGTGGAGAGAGGGAGGCGACAGGTGGGCAATGCAGAAACCGTGGGACAGGGGACCGAAGATGGGCTAAACATGCTTGTTGACCTTGGACACCCGTGTCCCGTTCTCTCTGGGAGACACCTTCCTTCAACAAGAGACTTCTCGCTGCTAGAAAAGTCGTGGACACGTGGTCAGTGGCCGCCAGTTGTGTGAAAGGCTCAGTCCTACAGCGTTCAGTGGGCTCATGTGCGGGGCCTGCCCCTGGGGGTGGGCGATGCGGCAGGCCGCCATGGGGGCTTCCAGCCTGGCCCAAGGGCAGCTCCCCTCCTCGGCGGTGGACTCTGGGTCACACCCACCTGACCCACCTCGGCCTGGAGAGCTCCACGCGGTTCCTGAGGCTCTCCCCTGTCCTGAGGACACCCCTCCTCCCAAACCCCGCTGTCCCAGCAGCACGGAGCCCAGGTCACGAGGCACACACACCCCGACTTCCAACAAGCAAGCAGTGGCAGGGGGCCGAGTCTCCAGGAAGCACAAGGCCTCCGTGTGCGGGGACCTCTGCCTTCTATTTGGCGCTCACTCACCCCAGAGCGCAGGGGGAAATAATGAAAATTCCATAAATACAGTCACCAGTGGGGCCAGGCCACGTTTTACTCTGAAGCCTCTCCGTGTGATTACTTTTTTGTCTAATGTTCTCAATAACGGGCCTGAGCTGTGTGAACATCCTCCGAAAGCTCAGGCCACCCCGGCCCCTCCTGGGAGCTCCCCGTGGAGATGTGAGGGGAGCTGTTGTTTACTGCCTTCCGATTGCTCCCGGAACATTTTCCCCTCTGATGAAGGAGGCACTCATTCATTCACTCACTCCCTCAACAGCAACATGTCCCTGGCACCAGCAGATGAATTTCGGGGGCTACATTCAGTGTCTCCTACTTGTGGATGGAGGGGCGAGGACTGCCCCCCGCCCTGGCTGGTGGGCATGGCATGGGTGCTGCCCGCACTCCGCAAGTCCTGCGCTGGGTGCCTGACGTGAACGTGTCAGGGACCACTGTGAGCCCCGCCCTCGGGGTCCGGAGGTGAAGACTGCAGATGACTAGTCATGTGTGGGGTGCAGGCATACCGGGCATTTCCCTCTGCTTCTCTGAAGGGAATGGTCGGCGCCACCAGGTCAGGACTGGCTCTCTCTGCGAGCGACCTGCTTAACTGCACCCGAGACGCATGCCCTGGGCAAAGGGCCTAGGGGGGCCTCCTGTGTTCACGCTGAGCCCCCGAGTCCAGCAGCCATGCCCCTTCCGCAGGGTCACATACGGACGGGCATAGACGCCTGCATGCACCTGGCATGGAGTCCTGCATGGGGGGGGATGTGCTCAGACAAAGGACAGTTCTCAAAGGCGTCTAAATGACAGGTTGGAATAAAAGCTGCTCCCACAGGGCTGGCATGTGGCTCAACTGACCAGGCAATGACGCAGTCACACATGGGTGTCTCCCAATCTCTCAGCTCTTGCCCACACTCATGACTACCTCTCCAAGGCTGAAACCCCACCTGGCATGGGGTTGGGACCACCAACACTCATCTAGAAACCTCAGTGGCCCCAAGGCACTTGGGCCTCCACCTGTGTCCCTTATAATAGAAACATGCTCTCCTGATGTAAAGTCTCTGGTAGCCTGCCAGCCCATGGAAGGAACGTCATACTCCTCACAAGGGCCTTGGGGCCCACCCGAGCTGCCCTGCCTGTTCGCATGGGGCACGCAGTCCCTCCTGCCTGGAGGCAGCCGGGCACCTGCTCTCCAGACCTCACAGCCTCTGGCCCCTTGTTTCCACGTGAACTAGGGCTGCCTGACCTTTTCCAGCTCTGCTCTGTGCCCATTTCTGATGGAATGTCATGCTCTCTGCTCCACCTTGGCACAGTGTCCTGTAAACATTTGTTGAATGAAAAGCTGCGTCTTGGGGCGCCTGGGAGGCTCAGTTGGTTAAGCGTCTGCCTTCAGCTCAGGCCATGATCCCAGGGTCCTGGGATCGAGCCCCAGGTTGGGCTTCCTGCTCAGCGGGGAGCCTGCTTCTCCCTCTCCCTCTGCCTGAAGCTCCCCCTGCTTGTGTTCCCTCTCTCTCTGTCAAATGAATAAATAAAATCTTAAAAAAAAAAAAAAGAAAGGAAAGGAAAGAAAAGCTGCGTCTTGTAGATGGTCCCTTTTGCTGGGGCAGAGATGATACAAGAGCCCTCATTTGTCGGAGAGACGGGCTGCACTGTCGTCAGCGGCAAGGAGCCCAAGGAAGTGAATCCGGGCTTACTGTTAGGACTAGGACTCGGCCTGGGCCCTCTCTCCCAACTTCTGGCTCCTTTCTACTCAAAATAAAGGGTGATGAACTTCCAAATGAGTTAACAGCCGTAGGGAAAGAGCTTGGACAGCCCCACCGAGTGGCAAGACTTGCCGACGGTCAAACTGTATTTCCAGGACTGAAGGCCCCGGGCCAGCCGTTTGTGTAAACAGATAGCTCGGCTGAGCCTCTTATTTCCAGGCCTGAGTGGCTCACAGCACACCACTGATCGTCCCTAGACGACTTTCTGGACTGACCTCCATGTCCGGACCTCCCCCCAGTCTCCAGTGCCACCGAATCTGCCTCCAGCCTCTCCCCTGATGACGAGAGAGGCTGGTCGTGCTCGGGGGACGTGGTGCAGCAAGTACGTGGCAGGGTGTGCATGCTGGAGGCACTCCCTAAGTGCTGACTTTTCACGGACACGCACCATCCCTGGGCTCGGACTCATCTGCAGTGGGGTGGGGCCCAGGCACCGGAATGTTCTAGAGCCCCCCAGGCAATTCTAGGTGCAGCAGGGCTGAGCACTGTGGCCCCAGTGGGCCCTGTCCTTCCAGGAGATTATAATTCTCACAATTACAGTCCAGTTTCAGCTGCACTTAAATAACTTACCAAACCCACCTGGAATTTTCCTTCCGTCTCTCTCCTGAACTGTTTCTCTCTGATATAATTAACAAGAACCCCAAGCACACAGTTCTTTCCCTTGCAAACCAATTATGAAATGGAACCTGATGTGAGTGGAGACTAAAAGCCCCGGATCCCGCACCCGGCACTCACGCGATGTCTGGGAAGACACTCATCGGCACCTCCAGGAGCCGCGCGATGCTCTCCATCAGCTCCTTCCCCTTCTCTGGGCTCAGGGGGCTGTTGAGGAGAGCGGGGGGCAGCGTTACAAAATGGAACTCATCAACACTTGAGAAGCTGCGCGTCCCCCATGCCCCCACCTCAGCGCCTGTGGCATTCCTGTCACATAGTGACCAGGCTCTCAGGGCAGCCGGGATCAGGTGCTTCTTCAGGCATGATGAATCACCTGGATTTCCCAGCAATGAGACAAACAATACAGTGCAAATGGAATTGTTAGAAGCGTGATGGGCCCGTGATGCAGCGACGGCTCAACTCAGCCTTCAATAAAAAATATAATGGGGGGGTGGGAGGGGAGGGCACAACACAGGAAGGAGAGAGAAAAGACGGGAGGCGGAAAAGCAGAGGCTGAAAATCGAGTTTCAGGATGGGCGTCAAATGTACAAAGGAAACACATTTTTAAATGGGCTTGTTTCTAAAATGAGTGATGTGCCATGAGAGAGATGTGAACGGGACACATCTGAAGGTAAACACGGAGACCAGAGGGGCTGCGCGCAGCAACCCCCTGGGAGGGGCAGGGGTGCTCCGGGATGACGCGCCCCAGGCCCGCGGGAGGCCCGGCTCCACCGTAACCGTGCGGCTCACAGCTGCAACGACCAGTCCTGAATCCCAGCACACGGCTGCATAAGTCACGCCCGCCTGTGAAACCCTGTTAGCAGAGTTTCAGAGAATATTCCGTTCTGTTGTCATATAAAAGCTGCTGCACAGCAACCACCGTTGTCCTGGCCAACCTCTCGTGCCCTTGGCCAAGGTGACAGGAGACAGTAGGTGCAGCAACAAACAGACCGGGCCCTGCCTTCCTGGGGCCTGCATTCGAGCGGCACATGGGCACTGTTGTGGATTGAAGTGTGTCACCCAAGCTTCACATGTTCAGTCCTAAATCCAGAACCTCAGAATGTGACCTTACGTGGGAAGAAGTCACTGCTGACCGTCATATGCTAAGAGGAGGGCATCAGGGTGGTTCCGAATCCAATGTCGCCAGAGTCCCCGTAGGAGGAGGACATGCACAGGGGTGAGTCGGGAAGCATCCAGAGTCCCCGCGGCTCCAAGAGCCAATGGGGTGCAGGGTGCAAGCAGGAGCCAACCAGGATCCAGCAACACCAGGACTGGGCAGGAGGGTGCAGGGGGGGCCTGCAGGCTTGGGCTCAGAGGCGATGGGTGTGTCATGGCACCAGGAGGTGACCCAGGAGCATGCGAGATGCAGAAGCATGGGAAGGAAATTCGGGAATTCTCCTGTGGACACATCATGACAGACAGAGCCCACACTGAGCATCTGAGCTGGGAGCAGCTGGGGAGAGCAGCCTTCAGAGAATGGCTAAAGCAGGAATCCGGGGGGACAGAGCCAGCAAGGAGGAGTCGAGGGCCCTTGGAGGCCTCAGTTAGAGATGGAGAAGCGGGCTGGGGTCAGGAGTTGCCGGCTTGCCCCACAACTGTCCTGGGGTGTCCCATGCACGTGCAGCCACAGCAGGACGGACACTCCCGTCCTCTAAGGGAAGGCTGGTAATGAGCCACGGCACCAAGCCGCCCCCCACCACCTTCTGTCAGTGGGGACAGGAACTGGACTTCTTCCTAGGGACACCGGTTTCTGCAGGAGGCTCTCTACCCACAGCCAGGCCTGCTCCCCATGCCTCACCCGTTGTTCTAGATCTCTTGCCAACCTGCAGGGTGCTGTTCTGCCCTAAAGTGAGAAAGGAGAGGCCTGATGCGGGTCTGCGATCAGGACCTTTGGCCCTCCATCCTGCTTCCCAGGCAAGAGTGAGATGCCCAGGGCTGGGGACCCTTCCAGGAAGGAAAGACAAGTCCTACAAGCCTCCTAACACAGGGGCTGTTCACATTATGCTGTAAATTAGAACACATTTTCAGGTCAGTGTGTGCGCGTGGTGTGAAAGTGCACCCTTTTACCTCGTCACTCGACCTGACTTAGAAATCCCCCAGGCATCTTGCAGAGCCCACACTTGGGCCCACGAGGAGGTGAGACACCGACGGGGGAAGGGGTCCACCTGGAACCTTTGTGTCTTCATCATTACTCCCTGCCTGTCCACCCGGAGCTGCAGGCTGGAGCTCGCCTTTCATCAGCCAGCCCAGAGCCCCAAGAAGGCCTGTGTCTAAACCAAGTGTGCAGGGACCTCGAGCCACGCTGGGGAAAGGCCATGGTGCTGTGTGCAGACTCAGGAAGAGGAGAGCAGCAACACCAGGAAGGTGTGTTCACTACAAGTCAGATCTGGACAAAGAACCACAGCCGCACAAAGCCCTAATCCAGGACGTGGGTGCCAGCAACGCAGCAGGTGCTTGGAGGCCCTCGTGGCAGAGCTCTGGTGCCCCTGCCCCCGTGGCTCTCAGATGGCCACTCTTCCTGTAACCAGGCCCCCCAGATGCAGCGCAGGCGGGCGGACAACCAGCATCTGCCGACGCGAGTGACGGGGTGAGGCCTACAGCGAACCAGAGCCGCCCTGACCTACGCAGCCCATGTGCCCCAGGCCAGACCCCAGCCAGGACACATTCCTGCTTCACAGACCCCCACCAAGGGCACAGACCCCGCCTCCTTGGGCCCCGCCCCGGCACTCCCCTGGACTCCCAGCACCCGGGACAGCGGAGCCCGACGCCGGCCCCCACCGCACCTGCAGCCAGCCTGGGGGCTCCCTGCTCGGTGCTTCCCTGCCAGCCTCCTAGGGCAGGCGGATGAGTGCAGCCAGGTGAGGCCTGGATGGGGCAGCTCGTCTGCCCCCGCCGGTGCCACCAGCATGACCCAGCCGCAGGCTCCTGTGTGGCCCAGGGCGGCGGTCAGGCTTTTGCCTTGTGGGTGTGGGCTTCGGCCACGGCACCAGCTGCTCCGCACACAGACACGAGCAGATGTGATGTGTGTGTGAACGGAACAAATGTGTGAATACACAGGAAGATGTCAAAACGTCTCACGCTGAAAATCATTAAAACGTAAGTTATTAAAGGAGTCCCACCTAGCTGACAAGAGTTACTGTGTAAATCAAGGACAATGGGCATAAAAGCCCCTCGAACCCTGAACAGCTCTCCAGCCCCAGACTCTATTACTAACAGCCTGATTCCAGCCTCATGGCAACACCTCTCCTGGCGGGGCCGTGTGTGGAAACCAATCCGAGCTCCTCCCCAGACCCGCAAGAACATGCCCCTGTTCAACCCTCTCTCAAGGGAGGGGCCTGGTGTGCTCTCTGTCAGTGGCTTCTCAGGGTAGTTTTCTGTGTAATTTCACAATCAAAAGGCAATCGCTTGCCCTTCAACCAGGAGGACCTGCTGTCTTCCTTTCCCGCCCATTTCCAATGCCTATTCCCCAAGAAGGGGCCTGTTTGGCGCCCAGGCTCCAGCCTGCAGTGGGCGCTGGGGAGGGCAAGGGTCCGAAAGGCAGCGTCAAGGGAAGCCCCCACAAACATGGCCTTGATGATCCCCGAGAGACAGCAGGGCCTGAGGTGTTGCACTTGGGGTGCTGCTCCTCGATCTACAACAGAGATGAGTGAGGTCGTGCTCAGGGTCACTCATGTGAGCCAGGAGGGGACGCCACAGTCGGAGACCAGAGCTAGAGTTGCTCAACCCGAACAGATGACAAGTGGGTGAACATGTTATCTACCAAGGCATCAAAGTGTGGAGGAAACAGTGGGACCAAGGAAGTAGTCTGCTAGTCGTCAAAAAATTCATAGGGTGAATACGAATTGTTTATAGAGCTAGTGTACTTAGAACACTAGAATTCCAGAAAGTAGAACAGAACGTGCAAATTTAACGCACCAGACAGTAGACCCCAGTGAGAAAGGCAGGAGCCACTGGGTTGCTTTTCCCACGAAGAGAGGAGCCAGCACGGTCCACCGGGGGATGGGCAAGCGGAACGCGCCTGAAAGAAACAGCTCAAAGGGGCCGCCCAGAGAAATCCTGTCTGTGCAGAGGGGGTCCCGGCTGCCAGAACGTGCCCCCGGGCACTGGGCAGACACCCTGGAAATGCACCTGTGTGGTGGCCCCCGCAAGTGTGACTGCCCACACTCCACTCTACCCCCTTCCCACCCACACCCCCGAATGTCCCGTGTGACCACAGAACATCCCTGCAAATCCTCGGGACGGAGGTGACGCAAGGCCCCGTCCTGTACCTGAGCACAGGTGTGCTCAGAGTAACAGAGCACAGGGTCTCAGCCTAGCACCCTTCTATCTCCGAGAGTTTGAACAGATGACAGGAATACGTGTACATGGCCAAGCGAGGGGCTTCATTTGAAGGGGCGGCATCAGGCACGCAGCCCAGAGCGGGAATGACAGCTCAGTCTAGGAAAATGGGCCCTCAGGTGACAATTACCAGGTGAGGAGTAGGAAAAATGAAGTTCTGTTTGATGCTGCATGCACTGAGATGCCCCTGCGGCCCCACCCAACTTGCTGTTCTGGTCCTTCATGGGAGGGTCGGCAGGCGTTCACTCAGGACGTGCTTCGCCTGCAAATGTTTCTGCGCCCCTTTGGAGGACGCTGCCAGCAGGAGACGTGCAGGGGCCTCCCTGTGACTGTGGGGCCACAAACACTGGTCTCCCTCCAGCCCTGTGCTCTGCGAATGGACTCGGAGCTGGAGCCCTGCAAAGTGAATCCACATGACCTGGGACAGGAGGCATCAGGAGACACCACCGACTCCCCAGGTGTGCACACACACACCTTGCAGACACAGGAGACTCCCCAGGTGTACACACACACACACACACCTGTGTGTGCTTGAGACAGTGGAAGAGTTGTACATGTCCACACACGCCGACGTGCTCACCAAGAGGAGCACTGGCACTAAAACCAGCGAGGGTTGTAGTGATGACGTGCACTCCTGGATCGACACTCCCAGAGCCCCCTGCCTGCCCGGCCACCCCTCCCTCATGTGCCCCACACTCACAATGCCACAAAGTGTTTCCTCCCCTCATCCTGCCCACCAACCAGGCCTCCCACATTCTAACCAGTGGGCCCGCGTGGCTCCCTCCTTTTTCTAAAACTCCCTCTGCTTTGATGTAGAAGCCCCGAGGCCA